TATATATATATATATATATATATATATATATATATATATATATATATATATATATATATATATATATTTGTTATATTTATGCTGATAAATAAATAAAGGGAGATAAATTATATTTATGCTGATAAATAAAGGGAGACTAGTATAGATCTATTTCAAGCTATTTAGCTCTCATCAGCTAGCCATACCCTTGCTGGGAATATATACTGTATATATAGGTCCTCAATGGCAGAATATTGTCTATAAAGAAAATTCTAGGCGGTGAGGTAATTGTATTTCTGTGCTTTCAAAAAGAACTACATGGTGCAGATTTTCCTTTCAATACTTTAAAAGAGAAGAATGCCCAAGCTATATTAAAGCTTTCAATCCACTTTTTTTCAAACCTAAAACCCATCTAAAAATTCTTATTGGATGCTACGCAAAATGCTTTTATACATCAGTCTCTTGACAAATAGATATGTTTTGTGATGATTAAGAAACAACAGAAAGGAATGGTAAAAACAATGCAAAAGGGAACATTTTCACAAACAGCAGTAGTCGCAAACAGAGAAAAGTGCATCTGTCAATAACAAAATTATTCTGACAGCACAGGATCATACAATATGGTTCACAAACTAATTTCTTATTAAAATTAAAGGGGTGTTTTTTTCCCCAGATAGAAATTGCCTTATTCTATCTACATGGAAGTTTTTATTTCAGCCCATGTATATTCATGGCCGCGCTAGGGGATGCTTAAAAACTAGGCCATTCAAAGACTGCTTTCATTGATACAAGCCTATTTAATGTAAGGCATCACAATGCATTCTACATGACGCCAGCTTCTAGATGGAATGATTTAAAAATACTATTCTCATACTTGCAGCTATTCCAAAAAGAAATCGGACTGCTCAAATGCGAAGTATAAATACAAGGCTTAACTCTACTGATCTCTTCTGATATCAATTCATTGGGTTAGATATGAATTAACAGCAAACAATGACCACTGGTCTCATCTTTGATTGAAATATATTCATGGCAATTACACACAACACACTGAGAAAAGGTACAGAGCAACCTTGAGTCCTTTAATATAAATTCTCTGTATCTGTGCTGAGCTATCTTTTAATTAATCCTATTTCTGTTCGTATTGCTTCTATTAATTTATCATTTTGTAATATTCGCATTTTAACTATTATTGAGCATTGCAGTTTGATTTAGGCTTCTTATTTTAAAGAAAATACTGATAAGGCCACCTTGTTTAGAAAGATGCCATATACATTCTTATCTACTAAAAATGCCTACCAATGTGTGGCAAAATAGTTTTGTTTCAGTCATAGAAAGGAAGAATGAATTGATTTATTGGGAGGGGGGAAAGTATCTTTTTAATGTACCCCAGAAATGATAATGGCCCAGTTCATGATAAATTATTTTTACTAGGAAGAATCAGGCAGGTAGCCCTATACCAATGAATGCAACCAACTGCTACATCCTATTTATCAACTGCCAGTTTTTCAACATTTCAAATGTACTTCCAAACCCAAATGCAAATGAAATATGCCCACTGGTTAGAAAAGAGAAATCAATTCACCTGAATGCCATCAAGCAGTTTGCTCATGCACCAGAAACTGTCAGCTTCAATATTCTGCAGTACCTCAATAGAAAGACTGGAAACATCAAATTTTTCCAAATCCTCTTCTGAAATAAAGAAAAGGCAAGAATGTCAATTAGATGTGGGAGACAAACAGAAGATTTCACACACACACACATACACACACAGACAAAATCTTAATTAAATTTAACTATGAAGGTTAAAGTGAATGTCTTTGCTAAGGACTAAACATTCCAAGTTATGCAATTTGACTAAGGGGTGAGCTTTGGTTGATCAACAAAAATATTTGGGAATTCAGTTTATTAGATACTAGCCGATAACCCAGCATTGCCTGGGTATTTTTGTATAGGGGGGGAAATGTCCGGAACAAACGTAATTTCTAATATTCGATTTTCCCTCTTACCAGAGGGAACTCCCTTGTGGAGAACTGTGAAGACGTTACCATGCCAACACCACTGCCCTGCATAGTAATAGCTATTTTACAGCAGTACAATAGAAGCCATTTTAAGGCACAACAAGCTATATCTTAACAGAACACACACCCCAAGGGGTGTTAGGGTATTTTACCCCACAATATTTTTTTCCAGAGAGTAAGTCATCTGTGTACCAAGTTTGGTTGAAATTGCTCAAGGCGTTCCAGAATTATGCTGGAATACACACATACACACACACATTTTTATATAGAGAGATTAAAAACACCTACAAGCCATTGTGAAAATTTGTAAATACTTTGGCATACAAATACAAAATCTGGAAAAGATGAAAATCTTCCAGCACATGTTGTTATGTTATGTTATGTTATGTTGTTATGTTATGTTACGGTGTATCTCTGTGTGTGTGTGTGTGTGTGTGTGTGTGTATGTATGTGTGTGTGTGTGTGTGTGTGTGTGTGTGTGTGTGTATATATATATATATATATATCAATGGTATCATCATGTGCAATGAAAATTGTGGTTCATCCCCAAGGAGAGTTTAAAACACAGTTAAGTGATAAAAGAAATAAATTGGTTAATTTCATGGTGTAACAGACAAAGTATACCATAGTTTAAGAGATTAATTGTTATGATCTCCAGGAATATTGAAAGTTTCAGATTCATGTTCTAACTAAGCTCAGATAACCCAGTAAATCAGCCAAGAAAAGAACAAGAAGCCAACTTTTTCTGTTCTTTTTCTTTTTTAGTATTGTTGTTCTTATAATAATGGTGAAACTAAATAACAGCAAACAGGGATTTGTAATTAACGTGCAGATATATCACTAACCACTGCAAGGTGATTTTTGTTAAGTGGTACTAGCAGTTTTACTTGGCTTTCTAATAGTGATGGTAATATTAAAAAGTTCAAAATTGATTGTAAGTCAGTTCATTCATGCAGAACTTATCTCCCAATTTTTATTAAAATACAATAAACTTTAATGAATTTAACTAGCTTCAACAGTCTAGAGGTTGATATACCCATCGATTCCTACACCAATGATTTATCAAAATATACGATACAAAAAAATAAAAATAAAGGGATAGTGGAGGGGAGGGGAGGGAAGAGGAAAAGTATAAAGAGAAAAAAGAAAGAATAGCATTGACTTCTGACTCTTTTTAGTGCAGTAGAATATGATACAGCCTCAATTTTTTACTTTTACCTAATAGTATACTGTATACTACTAGCTATCTCTATAACAACAAACCTATCCATTCAGCAAAACCTAAAGTCAATGTATTTTTTTCCTAACTGAAGCACAAAGTCCAGAAGTGGTTTCCAAGTAGAAACAATTTACCATTTTTCTTTGTATTTTATGCTTTGATAAACTAATAAAAAATTGTACCAAAATTTTCCTATACAAATAGCTTGCATCTTCATCAATATTTACTAGGCCAAAGTCTCCAATTACAATGTCTCAAAGCAATGTCTCTCATTTTCTCCAGTTTCCAGTGGCAGTTTTCATCACACACTCTGTATTTTGGTTTAGTTTCAAAAGCCATGGAATAGTGCAGCATTTCTTGGTTCACCACCAAAAACAGAGAAAACACTTCTCTCCTAATTTTTCAGATATAAATGTTTGCCAAAGAAGTCCTTCTGTATTCAGTGCAGCTTTCAAGACATAACACAAGTTAACCTTCTCTTTATCTTGCTTCAGATTTATCCACAGACTCTATGACCCTTTAAAACTGTTTTCAGATGAGTAGCAAAATAGGTATTTGCAGCAAAACAGAATGTTTGAGACCTCAAGGGCATCTTTAAAAAAAAAAAATTTGACTTTTTCTGCCACCGAGCATAAGGTCTCTTACTGGTTTACAATAAATATTTAAGTTTATAAGATAATAATGGGTTATCCTCTGTATTATTTTCCTGTTGAAAGAGGTTAGCTTTGAAAATTGCCAGTTACCAGATACGAGTTAAACACTACAAATGTCTTATACTGCACATACATATGAATACACTCACATGAAACAATAGAGAAATGAATACGAATATACATTTGAGGAGAACAAGAATGTTTTAATTCACAAAGCACGTTCATTTTCAAAATTATCTTGACCCTCCTTTCACCACAGTGGTTACCAAATTTTTAAGGTTTTAAGTTTAAATACAACTCTGAATCAATTCCCCTCAGACGAAGAACCCGTTACAAAACATTTTCAATCATTCACAACCAATGTTACAAAAAATAAGAATGATAGATTTCATTTAGCAATGCCAGAGCCACAGAAAAATATTAAGAAGTGGGAATGTATGAAACAATGCTCCTTAAGAGGAATTTTATTTCTGGTTGTGAATTACTAGGTGCCCTTGACCATTTTCTGGCAAGAAGTACTTCCACAAAGTTGGGAACATTAAACATATTGGTGCCTTGCTAATAGAAACACTTCTGGATGAATGAAAGTGAATTTAGAGAGTTCATTTATCACAAATAGGGAATCATAATTTGTATTTTAATTTTTCAGAATAAAATTCATAGCATGCAACAGTGTTCTTCATTAGCATAACCTAATTACAGCACAATTCATTATTCCACAAGTAACTGTTAAGACTGCTACTAGGATTATAAACATGTTTACAAAATTTGGAGATAGGGTGGGGAGAAAAAAATCAGTCAAAAATTACATTTTGTACCACCTTCAACTATTAAAATATTGCAATCCATCTGTACTGACTGCTCTACAAGAAGTAATAAAACTGAAGGTTTAATTAAAATACTACAAAGATTTTGTGATTGTTGTGGTTGAAATCACTCTTGTTGGTTATTTCTCAAAATGGTTTGGGTTCATTCCAATGAAACAGTTAATTATTGCTCACTCTGACAAAATGTGTACCGAAGCACTCTGTTGTTGTACAAGTTGTGCTCATACTATTGTTACAATCAAATTCTTTTATATTAAATCCAGTTTACCACAATGCACCTTTCTCTTATTGTTTGCTAAACATTAGCTGTTAACAATCCCAGAAAAAAGTGTCATAGAAGCCACAAATGTACATTAGGCAGGAAGAAGAAAACAACTTTACTAATTATTGTATATCTGCTGGCTACAATGGCTGAACTGACAGGTAACAACACCAAGTCAACATTTTAAACCACAGCTTGTTGAACCACAGTAATCCAATTACTAAAACACAATGGGTGATTTCCACATAATGCTACCAAATCAAAGGCGCTCCTGTGCAGTTACTTCAATGACAGCAACTTCATTCATGCGCTATGCATATAAAGCATCTCATCTGAATGTTTTGCAGCTCTGCAAGAAAATTACACTAACCTGTTCTTACTGTGTAGATGGCATCCTCATTAGTTCAACTTTATGTAGGTATTTCCAAACACTTTAATATGCAAGTGGACTCATTTTCTTTTGAGCCACAGCATAAGAGATTTATACTAGACGGGTGATAGTGAAAAGGTCGCATGGAAACGTCATGCACGCATCTGCACGTTCGTCGGGGCCACGCTTCGGAAAAGCTGAACTTCTGGGTTCTAGCGTGAATGCGTGCCCGACAATCAGCTGGCCAGTGTGCATGTGCACGCAACAGTTTTCAGCACTGCTGCACGTGTGAAAGACAGCTGATTGTGGTGTGCACATGCGTGCCAGAAACCCAGATGACAAACAGACAAGGCTGTATGTGCTGAGCAACATGGCTTCGTGTGCCACTTTTGGCACATGTGCCATAAGTTTGCCATCATGTTACTAGACAGTTGTGAGTAGAATTAACGCAAAAATTAGATTCCAAGTGTTAAAATGTGATTGACCCTAATATAACAAAAGATTCCTCTCAGAATAAAACATAAAAATATAATTTTGAGGGACCCAAACTACAATCCTGTCTCTTGTTTATATATTTGGTATTCAGTGGGACTTACTTCCAGCCAGATATATACAGGATTGCCTGAAAATGTGTTTTGATCATATATTTTATAATTGTAAGAATGTAATTAAAAGTTTACTTTAATAACTCCATTTAGTTTATGCATATGTGCTATCTTGAATATTTTACAAAATTGGATTATTGTATGTATCATATAAGAAATTTACCTTTATGAATCTTTTCTGCTGTTTGATGTATGACTGAGCTAAAGGTTTTGTTAGGACAAAAGAAAAAGAACTTTCTAATAAATAAATACCATATTTTTCAGAGTGTAAGACACACTTCCGCCCCCAAGAGGGTGAAAATTTTGATACATCTTTTAACTGAACGTAGCCTGGCCCACCCGCTGGTCCCCACCCTTTGGTCTCTGCCTCCCAGCAATTTGCCTCCTTGCAGCAAACAGCTTGTTTCAATTTCAGCTTCGGCACAGCCTGATTAGCACAAGCAGTTGATAGTCGGTTGGATCAGCCTCCTGACCATCAGCTGTTTCAGGTTGCAGGGATTGCCATTGCCTATTGCCACCGCTGTGCACCCCATTTTCAGCCTCCACATCCCATTTTTGGCTCAAGGCCTTATTATAGGAATATTATACTCTTCATATTGGTCAAGAATGAAATGAAACATGTATTCTTTTTCAGTTGCCAGCAGCAATATCTTTATCATAGTCAGTGTGATTAGAATAATTAAGATGTTAGGAGCAGAGGGGGCCCATATTTTTACTTCCCTCTCGGCAAAGGAA